TGGTAGGATTCAAAGCTTTATTTAAACCCTCTTAATGTTCACCTGTCAAGGCCAGTGACTTAAAGGCTCCTCAACCGTAATCTGAAGAAGGCTCCTTTCTTCTTGTGAGCCTGCAGAGGAACGCTTGGGAAGCTTACTCTTCTCTCATTTGTAAATCAGCTCAGCTCTGCTATTCAGAGGAAAAGATCCCAGGATTCTGCTCTAAGAGCTTGGGTAATAGCGGACAGACAGCCCAGGGCGCTGAGCAGTGGGCCTGAGGAAGAGACAGACGCCAAGGCAGCTATGACTTGTGAAAGCTTGCATTTGAGACGCTGCTCTGAAGCTGCTTATTTTTCCTCAAGAAGTGGTGGCTGACAATCCCAGAGACCTTAGACAACAATGCGGACAACATAGGTCTAATCTACATGGGAAGTAGAAAAAGACAAGATCTCCTGAGTAAATTGGGAGCATGGGGACCTTGGGGGAGGGTTGAAGGGGGAGGGGAGAGGCAGGGAGGAGAACAGAGAAAAATGTAAAGCTCAATAAATATCAAAAAAGAAGAAGAAGAAGAGGAGGCAGAGGAGGAGGAGGAGGTAGTGGTGGTGGTGGTGGTGGTGGTGGTGGTGGTGGCAGCTATCAGGGCAGGGGAGATGGCTCAGTAAATCAGGCACCGGCTCTCAAACAGGAGGAACCATGGAACCCTCCCCCGTCTAACACCCATTACATTCATTCATACATGCATACATACATACACATATATACAATATTTTATGACAGGATCAGAGCCTGGTGAGAGCGTTTAGGGACACTCGACGTAACTTTCTGTCCTTCCTGCCTGCCTGCCTGCCATCAGACACAGCCAGTTATACTACCCTGCCAGAGGACGCAACAGCCAGACACCACCTCGGAATCAGAGAAGGGGCTCTCACCAGATCCCAAACTGAATTTACCTACTCTCTATACATTTTTATTTACCTTTCTTATCATGTGCTATTAAATTTATCATATGCGGAAATGCAGAAAACATAAACTCAAGAGTTTGTATTTCAGTCCGAGGTCAATGTTCTCCAAAGCCAATGTCCCAAACCGTGTCAGCCCCATGTTGATGACCCACCGTCACTGGGTACACAGCTCTCATTTGTCCCTGTTTTGCTCTGACTTGGTAATTATACTGGCACTAAATGCCCTTAGAAACATGAACACACCTATTTTTAGCCAGTATTGATAAATCCCCACTCTACCCCAAGATACCGGAGAGTACCTGACCTACAGGCGTGTAAGGGACGCTTAGCAGTAGGCATTGAGGACTTTTAAAGCTGAGCCACGCCCACTATTTTTAGATACTATGATTACGTCTTGCCGAGGTGCTTATTACTAATCTATCCAGGTAAAATGACTGAAATGAACTCAGATATAAAACAATCATTTATTAAAACTTAGAGAATTAATATCAAGACTGGAGACCCATCAGCAAATAATATCTCTGAATGTGGACTCCAGGGCTAAGGAAGGTTTACAGGGAAAGAGTCCTTCTTAGCGCAGACCCAATGGGAAAGAGTCCTTCTCGGAGCAGACCCAATGGGAAAGAGTCCTTCTCGGAGCAGACCCAATGGGAAAGCAACTCCTGCAGGGCCAGAGCCCAGCTTCATTCTCTTACCCAATAATCCGAATCCCTTAGAGGCAACATTTTTAGCTCTAGGATAACGGTCACATGATTAATAAGCTGACTAAACCCGATGACAGACATACTAAAATATTTCCAATGAAATAATTGACGTTTGGAAAGCTCCTCTACCATTGCTTAGGATTCTGAGCCCAGCCTGCAATGCTAACAGCTAGGGAACAAGCTGTAATTATGGAAGATCAATTCTGTTTTCAAAGATCTGTCTTGGAGTGTCTACTCAATATTTGCTCAGTCACATCCAGAAATCGGCTCCTGTCATTAAAGCAAACAAACATCCAAGGAGACCTCAGAAAACCAAGTGGGCACTAGTCGGAAGTTAGCAACCAGAGAAAAGTAAAAACAGAGAGCCCGCTCTGAGAGGAAAAGTCTCGCCTGGAAAATGGAGGGGAACAACACAAACACAATACTAGGTCTGTGCTTTGAGAATTGGCTCTTTACAGACTGAAACCTCACGGCTATCCAGCAGCCTACGCACACATGTGCTCATCCCTGTATGAGGCTGGCTGGGGACATGGATGGAGTTTTATAGTCGGTAGTTCAGGGTAACAGCCAAGATTATGAGTAACCAATTAAAAATCTCCACTCAGCCATCTAATAACTATGTGACTCAACGATAAATGTATTCCAGCCTCAGTCTCTTCTTCTATTAAGGGGACATGTGACATAGCCGATGCAGAACTGGTGAAGGGCAATAGAGGATTTATGTGTGTGTATGTATATACATATATATGTTTATGTGTATATATATCTATCCCTTGTATATCACATATGGTATAAATATATGCATACTACATACATACACACATATATACACACATATGTGTTGACTGAGGTTTTTCTGTCCTGCCCAGTTCTACAGCCATTAAGTCCTAAAGAATCACACAGAGGTCTACATTAGTTATAAACTGATTGGCCCATTAGCTCAGGCTCCTTATTAACCAATTCTTATAATTGACATTAGCTCATAATTCTTGTCTGAGTTAGTCACGTGGCTTGCTTCCCTTTCTGGTGAGGCAGTCACATCTTGCTTCCTCTGCAGCTGGGTCACGACTCCAGACTGCACTTCCCTCTTCCCAGGATTCTCATTACCCCACCTCTACTTCCTGCCTGGCTACTGGCCAATCAGCATTTTATTAAAAATAGTACAAGTAACGGGATAAAAGATTATTGTCCCACAGCATGTATGTGTGTGTACATATATATACATATATATGTATATATATATATATACACGTGCGTGCGTGCGTGTGTGTGTGTGTGTGTGTGTGTACCTAGCTGTGCGTGCTGGTCTCGAGCACCTTTCTTGATAGTTGGTCCTTCAACAAGCCCAAAGAAGCATCTGCTTTTCCAAAGGGGTTTATACTAAATTCCATATAGTAAATGCTGTGTTATGCCATTGGTCCCAATTTGTTCGACTTTGGAACACAATGTTATGTAAGGCTACATAACGGTATGTGGGCAATGCACAACAAACAACAATGAACTAAAGTACTCGGAGCCTCAAACACACATGAACTGCATTGTGTGTCACCTGACCTCAGGGCAGCCTCAGTGCTGAACACACAACACGCATGCTCACACCGTGCACGTGGTCACATTAGCAAACACCACCTAAAGACATCAGCCTTTAATTGAGACTATCCAACCTTATATATTGTCTTCACTGCGTGTACAAGATGTTCCTTCCTTTTGGAAACTGGACGGCCTAAGTAGTGAAAACAGAGACCGGCTGTTTCTGCTGTCTTCCTTCAGCACATAGATAGCAAACATTTTTTGGATTGCTTTGTTTGAGAATTATTGATTTTTAAAATTGCTGTTTGCATTGACAACTTGGGCTCATAAAACAATCATTACATGAATTATAGCTTGGGATCAGAACGGCGTTTTCCACAGCTTCTGAAATGGCCCTAATCATGTTTCTGTCTTTGTACACAAAACAATGTGCCTGCCTTAGCACTGTTGATAATAAAATCAGAATATCAGAAACATTGAAGATGTTCAGCCAAGATTTAATTCTCTATGTAAGGGCACATAAGGACACCCATCTGATTAGTACGAACGCTAGATTTTGTCTTTAATAAATGGTACCATTATATATTTCATAATTATTTTAAGATAAACATCTTTATATTTATTACCAGCAAATGATTTATATGGCATTTCACATACCTATATACCTGGGGATGCAGAAAAACTTCTCAGGGAACAATTTCCCAAGTGGAAAAGACTTAAGAATCTCATGCTAAAGTTCTAGTTGCTCTTCTTCGAACACTGCAGCCCAAGCCCATCCCCCGGATGAATGGTGCCCCTCTGTGTCACAGCCTCAGGCTGCAAACTCAATGGGGCCTAAGTCTACATCTCCTACATCACCTGTGTTCGGCCAATGCCTGCCACGCATCTCACACAGTAAGAGCTCATAAGCACTCACGGCTGACTCTTTAGGAGATGTGAGTATATCCTGCAGCTCACTCCAAACTTCCACAGAGCTCGGCAGCAAGCTCTGTCGAGCTGGCTAAAGACAGCTGGATTCACACTTCAGCTGGACCACTGAAAGCTGAGGGACCCCAATGCCTCCATCTCCTCGTCTGTACAAGGATACTGACAGCTATAAGGGCTGTACTAACTTATTATTCCATGTAGCTGCCATTAAATGGCACTGGACACAGCAGGCATTTTCTAAGTATGAACAACCATCGATTTTCCCAGCACAATTCCCGAGCAAGTTTTCCTAATTACCTAAGTTGTTTCTCCCTTTACGTAAGAAAGCATAAAACATGGCGTGTTCACTTCGAACCCCGAAGTCGATTTGCCGCAGAAAGCACATTAGAATCTCAAGGAACTGACTTCCAAAACATTTTCAAGAGAAATGCATTTATAGAGAATATTCCGAAAATAAAGATCCTAAGTGGCCCCAGAAATTTCATAGTCTAAGGCTGTTCCAACTGTCTTACGTTGGAATCCTCCCAGCCTCATCAGGCACGACTTCACACTAATGAGAACAGCCATATTGACTTGTGGAGGGGTTCGTGTGTGCACGCGCGCGCGCGCACACACACACACACACACACACACACACACACAAGCATGCACGCGGCATTAAGATCAGGTCTCACTCGTGTACTCCCCTCAACCTCCATCATGAACTGCGTTTCCCTATTAAGAAAAATCAGAGCAAGTTCTGCCTAGGCTTTGCGTCCCCATTACTTAGAGCTGAACCTGGCTATCATCCCCCTCGTGGCTCAAAATTCAAATCACCATGTTTAGCTGACGATGCTTCTCTCCGCCCTGGAGAGCAGAGGAGAGAAATGAAGGGGAAGGGGCAGCAAGGGAGCTGTACCTTCAGCACAGTAATGTTCCAAGCGAAGCTCTCGATGGCCTTGTTGAGTTTCCTTCCTTTCAAGCCTTCCTTGGCCCCCAGATTATGAAGTTCTTCGTGGAACTCCATCCCTTTGGAAAGAATACACATGAAGAATATGAGGAAAACGTGCGTATTTACCATGAAAATATTGCCAACAAACTATAAACTCACATTCCTGTTTCCTCTCATAATTTCTAAACCCCTGAATTCTTTCTGTTTTGTCATTTAGATCCCACGGGGAAGGTATCTAAGAGTAAGCGAATCAGGGGCTAAATGTCACATTCAGCGGCCTGGATGCACAGATAAACACCGGAGGAAATGAGAAGTAAACCTCCTGGCAGATGCTCCTGACCTCATCTGTCCTTTCCTGGTTTTGTACGGAAGGGTGTGGGGTGCAGAGATAACCTCACGTGAGTATACAACACGTCTCTTGTGTTTGCTAATGAGCCGGCCGCGTGACTATGAAGCAGGCCATGGAGTCCCTGCAGGTAAAACGACAATTAGCCGGCTGGACCCCAAATAAAAAGCCTTTCAAAGACAGCAATCTTGGGAGCACCCATGTTTCACGTTTGGGAGCAGCCTTCCGTGTACTCTCTGGCCCACCAACAACATCGCCGTCATCCATTCTTGCTGCCTTTTCCTCAGAACTTCAGGATGAGAATCGCATTCTCTTATGGACAATTTGTTCCGTCTTTGGAGGGATGGGACTGATGCTGAGCCAAGGTCTCCTTCCCCAGAACTTCTAGCCCTCGGCACTCGCTGGCCCCAGACCAAGGAGGTCTGATGTCTTAGCCACAGTCCGGCCCTTTATATGTCTAAAGAAAGATGCTGAATTAAATCCGCTTGGATCCTCTCTCTGCCCCACAGTGGGCGGTCTAACTCGTGTCTGCTTATTGGTGATTCATCCTTGAGGATGGCATCCAGGCGGGGCCGCTGGACCAGCCAACTTTCTGGATGTGAGTGATGCAGACAGCTGCATCTCAGAACAGACAGGGTCCTCCCTGGGCTTCCAACAGCTCACACTGGGTAAGGATTGGCGCTTGTTTTTGTTCTGGGCGGCTTTTCTTATTGTAGGCTAAAACCACATTGGCTTAGCTGGTGCTTGTATACCAGACACAGCCCGTGAGAGCCAGGAGGAACACAGTTCACCCACGCACTAATTGAGTCTGCGCTAGCCCCGGAGACTCTCAGGGCTTGGCTCTCCTCATGGTGAAAGGGTGGGAATGGGTGCCGTGGAGTGGGACCATGGTGAAGATCAAATGGGTCAAGGCATGCAAAGCTTGCAGACTTGGGACGGAGCTCCTGTATGCATTGGGAATTTTGATTTTCGTGTTTCCTGTCAATTAAAACATCTAAGGTCGCTTGCTGGCCAGCCTAGTAAATAGCACAGATTTGCTAGTCTGTGTCCAGGAGTCCACTCTGTTCTGGGTTGACACTGAGACCTCGGATGAGTCCCCAGCCTCTCACATGTCCCTTCTGTAAACGGGACATCATGCTCAGTCGCCATGAAGACCGGGTAAGACAGGGCTCGTACTTCAAACATAAGAACAGGGAGAGAGAGAGCAGCTGCCAGCTCTGCCCTGTCTCTCTCCTCCTCATCCCTGTGGACGGAGGAGCCCCTGGATCCAAGAAACACAAGCTCTGTGGTATAGATATAAAGTGGGCACAAACAAACCCAGGTGGGTGCTCACAGTCACGTGACCTCTCCCATTCCTAGAGAAAGTACGAATCTAACGTGAGAACGAGGAAGAAGGGCAAAAACTCAGAAGGAAACAGGACCGTGGCTCCAATCCTAACTACGAAGTGGGCTTTAAAGAGTCACACAGAACCACAGCTTCTCCGCTAGCAGTGGAGGCTTTCAGAGGATCACAACCAGAAGGGTTTATTCATAAACCCTCGTCTCTTGGCATCTTTGAACACCACCCTCCTAAACACAAATATCACCAGCATCACCTAAGCTCTCCTTTACCGGACAAAACCGAGTATAACTTAAACTCTAAACAGTGCGGTGAAAGGGTTTAGTTTTAAGACCTGGCTTGTCATTGTGGTTTCTAAACAAAGTAGAAAACAATATTACCTGCTTTCTGACACTGGACAATCTTTTCCTGGACGGTGTCTGCCGTTTCTATGACGACCCGGCTCTCTTGAATCATCTGCCACAAAAAAAAAAAAAAAAAAAACATCAAACAGTAGTTGTTAGAAACCCTTGACCTGACTCGTTGGGAAGACAGTGCATAGAGAGGCTTCGCAAAGACATCCGGGAGCGAGGGGCCGTCGTGAAAGATGGGGAGAGGTGGGGAAATCTCTGCCCCAGTGCTCACCCAGACACTGAGACCGGAGTCGTCTTTCTTACGATGGCCTCAGCTGTGTAACATACCAGACATGCAATAGATACAAAATATTAATTGTTGAATAACTGGATATAAATGATAAATCAGTAATCAACACCATAAGACCTGTGAAGGTTTAGATGGCACCAAAGTGCTCATTTACATGAACACCTTCTATTTCCAAGGAATGGTGTCTAGTGGAGGGCTCCATGCCTCTGACCACGGCCTGTGGAGAGCAGGGTCAAGAGAGTGACCACAAGTTCAAAGCCAGCCTGTTTACCTAGCAAAGATCAATCAGGACTACGCGGTGAGTTTCATACCAGCCAGGGCAAAAGAGCAAGAAAGAAGAGGAGAGAAGATTCCGGCAAGAGAAACATTCATGGAGGTTGGACAAACCCCACATTTAACACAGCTGCCACTGTCTGGATCTTAACTGTGCCCCAAGGCCTGTGTATTAAAGGTTGCTCCCAGGAAAGTGTTCACAGCAGGTGGGGGAAGCCTCCTGGGATGTCTTCAGGACACTGGAGTACGATCTTCAATGGGCTATGGGATGGGATCCCTTCCTCTCTTTCCCTTCCAGCCATGAGGTAAATGGCTGAGTCTGCCAAGTGCCCCGTCTGTTGCCAGGCAGCACTCGCCTAGAGACCAGCGATCAATGTGTCTGCCTCCCTGTACCCCAGAACCTCTAAAGTTGGGAGTCCCGCTGGGCCACTTCTCTTTATAAACTGATCTCAGGTATCTGCTATAGTAACGGAAATCCACCTAATCCATTTCAGACTTTTAAAATATGGATGGGTTTTAAAGCTTAAGGAATTACAGCCATCACAGGGCAAGCCCTCTCTTTTGTAGATTCGGAAACGATAAGGTTAGAACTCCTGATCGGTGGAACGGAATTAATTTATGATGGCGCTAGACGTAGAATCCCCATTCCTGGCACACAACCTGTTTCCACTTTGGGCTACCACTTCTTTGATTTTGCCTGTCCCCGTCATGCCCACCTGAGAGGGCACAGGCTCACACACAGGAGTGTACCTACTTTAACCCACAGACACACACAAGGCCAGACACATGACCCATTACAACCAGATTTAATCTGTTCTTTGAGGGGGGGAAAGCCTTTAAAGAAGATGACCGATAAGTTCCTTCGCTAGTATGTTAACTGAGATGACTTGCATCTGTGTGGGTCGTACACTCAAACAAGAAAATGTAGCATCATTCTCTAGTAAGAATCCCTGTCTGTTGATTTGCGGGTTTTGTTTTTGTTTTCGTTTTTTTTAACTAAAGATCCCCTTTGTGCTGACAAGAGGACATTTCCTGCATCTGATAGTGCCACTGCCTCTGGGACAGCTAAGATGGAAGAGTCCTCTTCTCCATCTCTGGCTCGTCTCTCCAGACTGCCGGTACCATTTCTCCCCACATCTCCAGGAGACCCCTCTCTAATGATCCCCTTATCTGCCATGTATGGATCCTACCTCTCTCTAGTCTCGTCATCTCTTAACTTAAACATTTCCAACAAAGCCGCTGAGGAAACGATGCAAGAGCCGCCCTCATCCCCTAGCAAGCCAGTGGGCGTTCAGCGCTTTGACTCTGGGTAGGACTTACTGTGCCTGTCAGACGTTAGCCCTGGCCAGCATCTGTCCCCCCCCCCCGCCCCCCCTCCCCCGGTTCTCAGTCTTCACAGCTCGGCGGTTAGACGCAACTTACCATCCTCCTCCTAGGGTTCCCATTTCCTTTCCCATTTCCACGCCTCTAGGAAACAGCCTGGTCTCTGTTCTCTTTCTCCTCACTGGTAATCTCTCCTCTCAGTATCATTATCCCTTCCTAAAGACATCAAATATCCTGTACCCATCACTGCCGCTTCGTAGCTGACTTGCCTCCGTCATCAATCCCAGTGGTCCACAATCGTGGTTTTCAAGGCATGAGGTTCATAGTCCCTATGGCACGAAGTGGGGTGTACTACATAGATATCTGATGTGTGAGATGAAACAAGATTGATTTTTAACCTTTGTTTTATCTGGAACGATTGATGGGGCTACCTTGCTGAATTAAAGCCCTGCGTTCCCAATATGGTTGCCAGGGTATCGCGAGGAAAGAAATGAACTTCGTGCTGGGAAGAAGCTGAAAGGCAGTCGCCACTCCAGTGTCTCTTCCAGGGTATCTCAACCTGCAAAGGGCTACAGAGCAGAGCGGGAAAGTGGCTCCGTTTCTATTTTATTGCTCCAACAGAGGAAGCGAAAGCAACCTCACAGGCTCAGGTAAACAGCCGCTTGCTGGACAGACACTCGCCATCATTACTTCCCCAGGCACAGTGTGAGCTGAACAACAAGGACAACTCCATCAGATCTGCCAGGCACACTCAGAACACTGGGAGATGCTACACCTGCTTCTACTTCTGATGCATCTGATTATGTCTAGGCTAAGGCATTAGTCTGTATATACAGCTTATGATGAGAATATTCTCGCGATCTTTACAGACTAAGTACGATTTGTGCTGAGTACTCTACTTGCCCTTCCCACTCGGGCTCAGGTGAGGGCTCGGGTGAGGGAGGCTGAGCTGTGAGCAGTAGCACACAATGCTCTCCTGCCTTCTAACTTCTCTTGAGATCATCCTTGCAAGGGAGCCGCCAACAGGGATCTCAGAGGGTTCAGTAGAGCGAACAGCCTCCCCATGGTTCCCTCCCTGCTGGGCTCTAGTGTCCCAACTTCCTCTCTGCCAGGCAACAGCTCCAGACAAGGGCAGATGCAGAAGAGTCCTAAGGGCCAGAAATAGCTGTCTCTTACTTCCGTGGGCCTGGCTGTCACCACAGCTTCCCACTGTTGCTGACTGCTGGGCGCTCACCACCCATGGTAGCCAAGGCCCCTTTTGTCTCCTGACCTTACCCGCTTGCCGTGTATACAACCTCCAGGCCCAGTCGGGCCTGCACATCCTGTGTTCAGGCCCAGCCTGAGCGGTATAGATCTCACCCCTCAACAAGGAGGTTTCTATTTGTAGCATAAGACCATGACAGCCAGCTGCTGCCGGTCAAAACAGAGAGAAATTGGTGCCCACCCCCACTCGACATACCTATAACCCAGTTTCTACATGTAACACTCAGGGACTATCACAGGAGAGGGGGCAGAAATATCGTGAGGGCCGGAGGACCAGGAATCCTGCTGTGAGATTGCGTCTCCTAGATTCGACAGAGAAGCTGAACCGATTGAATAGTAAGTTTTCATCCTGTCACGACTCAAAAATCCCCATGGACACCAGTTTTCTCTGGAATTCCACTGAAATTCAGAGTAACATGTAACTTTCTTCTCAGAGCCACTTTAAGAATAGTTTATCGTGGACAATGCCTCTTTGTAGACAAAACAAACGAACAAAAAACAACAACAAAAAAAAAAACCCAACCAGATCTGAAAGCTGGCTCGCATAAAGGCACAGGGTTAGAGGAAACAATGGAGCCTAGAATACAGGTATTGGAAACAGCACAATACTTATGAGTTATGGGTTAACAGCCCAGCTTACGAGTTACGCTGCAACCCGTGTTAAAGGTTGGGTTTCTACGGCAAGGACAAGTTGGGGACTGTCCCTTCGTCCTTCACGATGTCATCCATCACGAAGGCATCACGAGAATCAAGTTTGCCACGGCTGCATCTCCTTCCAAACAGACTCCATCCGTGACGCACGCCAGTCACGAGAAAGAGTCCTCCTGTGCAATCTCGCTAGAGAAGCTTTTACCCACACCCCTACTTTTTAAGAAAGGAGCGGGAACTCTAGACAGGTTACGGCTTGGGACAATTCAAGAAGCTATTCGGTTCTATTTCTGTGCTCTCCCCTAAGACCTATCTAGCTACTGTCTTCCTTCTAGTCCCAAACCAGGTCTCAGCTCTCTGGTTGCACAGTGGGTCAGCTGGTTGAATTGCTGAAAGTCAGAGTCGAACGCTCTCAAACTCAACACGTTTGAAGATAGGCTTGCTGTTACATGTGGGTTTCCTGACTAGATAGGAGGACTCTTTCTTGTGACTGACGTGTGTCATGGTTGAGTCTGTTTGGAAGGAGACACAGCCACGGCAAAGTTTGATTCTCATGATGCCTTCGTGATAGATGACATCGTGAAGGACCGTTTTTCTTAGTTTTCAGTGCTTTCTGTTAAATGGGACGCATACAAGCATCTTTTGTAGACTGGCGTCTTTCTCTTTTAGCATTCAGTCCTGTGAAGATGGCCAACTCTCCAGGAAATATCATCAAATATAAAACTCAGAACACCTCTCAGCTGCCCAGAAGCTCATGACACCTCCCGTGTTGGCAACGATGTCCCTGTACCAGGGCTGGCCGTGAGCCACATTCCCCAGCCTGACTTATGATGGTGCAGGAACCTGAGCACAGCAGACCGTGTCTCCTCCCTTCTGGTGACAATTCCACTGCCATGCCTGCTTTCTTCAGAAAGGGACATTGTGCTGTTCCCGTCCTTCTGTTTCCAAAGCAGCTATCAACAAATCTTGAGAAGTTGCTTGAAATATCAGTGTTGGCTCGGCTCCTATTACGATTTATCTCATTCATAGAAAACACCACGTGAGGAGATTTTATGAAGTGCTCTGGTTGTTTGGGTTTGGCTCTTGTGGAGGAGGACAGCCCGTCACGGAAGGGACTGTGAAGAAGCTTGCTCCCCTCCTGAGAGACCAGAAAGCCCGAAGAGGGAGATGTTGGCATGAGCCAGCATTTTTCTTCTTCCTTTTTGATTCAGTTTGGGCTTATGGAATAATACCACTCACCCACAAGGGATTGTTACCTTTAATTAATCTTCGTTGGAAAAATCCTGACAGATAGATCCAAAGCTGAA